GGGGGAAACACATTAATGTGAAGTCTGGACAATCTGTGATCAATCATCTGCAGGAAATTTGCTTCAAAGCAAAGGAAGGAAACCCCCAAAAAGCTATCGGGCGAGTTCTCAAGCTGTTTTCCCTTAAACACGTAGTGAGAGCAGCTTTGTGTTTAGGATATTTGGAATGCTAATAAATGCGATGGGTAGCAAGACTGAGTTAGAAACACTTAGTTCTTCATGTAATGGTCAGGTAAGGGCAATACTGAAAATCATCTTAGCCCACTTCTCAATCCTAGCTTCACTCCTTCCATTTAATAAGTCCTGGTCAGTGAATAGACAAACGTTTATTTTGCATTTCTTCCACAGCAATTTCAGCTTTCACATTTCCCAAATTAACTTGTTTAAGTTGCTTTTTGAACCTGGATTGGCTCTCAAAACTTTCAACAGACTCTAGTGTCCAACTCTGTATATCATTCTGTCCAGTGAAGGTGAGACAACAAAGATAATTAACACCAATCAAAACATTTCTTTTAGTGAAGGGAACTTAAGGTTGTGTTTAGCTTGAGTACTGGGGACTAAAAAGCCAAAATGAGGGCCCTTAGATAACGTGCTGTGACTGAGAATATTGCTAGACAAAAGAGCTTCTTTTAAAAAGTGTGATTGATTAAATAAAAAGAAAAAGAGGAAAACTGCAGTTTGTAATTAATAGTCCTAATCATAGAAATTAGTGTCTGTTAATATGTTGAGTGTAATGTTTATTAATATTCTGTGAAAGGAACGTTAAAATTCACTTGCTGCTGGCATCTACCAGCAGCTTTTAATGTGGAGTGTTTTCTTGGATGCTGCTAATGCATCATAATTGCAGTTGTTGATTTTTTTTATGATTGGGATGAATCCCCAGAAAATAAAACAAAAAGAGCTGCTGCATCGTTCCAGAAAATCTGAATTTTCTTTCAGTCTTTTAAAAGTCGTCATCCCTGCCCCTAACAGTTCTTATCTCTGAAGCTCTTGTGATGAGTAAGATATGTATCAAGTGTACCTTTACCAAAATTTAACATTCTGTAAATGAATGATGACACACACGGCTGCAGCTTTCCAGCCACCAGCCGAGCACATCACCAAAACAGGAACTGACAGGACCCAGTACAGACTCTTTATGCCAGCAAAGCATAATTGCGGATGCCGCTCAGGTGCGTCCGCCTCCACTGCAGCGGCACCGCAGACCACGCCCTGCCACACCTTCATAGAAAGCGACAAAGCTCTTATATTAATTTCTTCTCTGACAACACATTTTTATTAGAAAGCAGCCCCGGAGCTTTTAGGCCATGTCACATATTAGTTTGTTAATGGTTAGTTACTTTTTAAATAAAGATGGGAGAGAATAAAAGTACTACAAATTTGACATTCAGTCAACCTGAACATGCTATTTTGGCATATTTTACTACCCTCTGCAGTTTGCAACAACACTTTGACCCCGATCTCAAAGTTCACCCCACAAGCTCTTATCCAGACCTTTTACTCTCATACTAATTTTTTTTAATAATCTTAAAATGTTTTGTGTAGAGGGTAAAGCAAATGCCACAAATAGATTGTGTCCTAGAACCACCGATATCATTACTTTGCCATTTTTAGTTGCTTTTAGTGCCTGTGTGACGTCTACGGTGAGCTTATTTTTAAGACCCACGTAATTAAACATTTATTTGATGTTTTTTCCTTTCAGAGAGCTGGAAGAAGAAAGTGGTCTCACGGTGGATGCACTCGACAAGATCGGAAATATCAAATTTGAATTTGTGGGAGAAACGCAGCTACTTGATGTCCATGTTTTCAGAGCCGACACATATAATGGAGAACCGACAGAATCCGATGGTATCACGTCCGCTGCACCGCACTGAAAAATGAAGAAATCCAGTGGTATCATAGTTTGAAAGTGGCTGAAATGAGAGGAAGCAGAGAGCTTGGGGTGGTGAATTTTAGTTCACTGTTGCCTATACGTTTCAGATAATAGTGCCCTATGAGAGGAGATGCAAAGACTGTTTGTTGCACAGTGCCTAACAGTTTGGCACGAAAATATTTTATATTTCAATATATTTATAACAAATATAATTGAGTCCTAATAACTTGATGTAAAACATTTTTTGTAACTTACTGTTAAAGTGATGTTTGACCCAAACTTATATCAACAGTTCGTTTTTCATATCTGTCACATTTCTTATTGAAAATAATATTTTAAAGGTTTTATAAAATCTAATTTGTTGAATATGCAAATCCATCCACTTTGGTGACCCCTTAATAATAAGTGAGCAGCCAAAAGAAGCTTTTTAAATGGAGTTGAGTAGAAATGTTAAGTATCAAGGAAAACTATAATATAGCTAATAATTGTGCAGTACTGGAGCAGATGTTCATAGTTAAGAGTTCTGTGTAGTCTGTGAAAAGCATTTGACCTCCTCCTGACATCTTCAGGGGGGTTTGTTTTGCAGGCTCTACTAGTTTTATATTTTTCCAGCAAAATTTAAAGTGAAACAAGCAGTCTGAGCAAAGCAATTGAAGCCAAAGTCTTCTAATAACTAGAGTCAGACATTAGCTTTTTATGAAATGTTGGCCCACTCTTCTATGCCAATCTGTCATAGTGCAGCTACACTGGTAGGTTTCATGGCTTTTGAGTTCCATGCAAGATTTATGATAGCAAGAGTAGGGATAGGCGTGATGTGCAAGCACTTTGTGGTTTTTGAGGGTGTGCTAGGGAGGACTGAGTAATTCAAATCAAAGGTAAGGTACAATAACTTACAGCAGACAGAAGATTGGAGTGTGTGTTCAAAGTAGAAGGTTACAATAAAGGTTTGATTTTAGTGATGTTTCTTATTTGAAAGAAATGAGTGCATGAGGTTAGAGAGTTGAGGCTCCAAATTCAAATGTTGGTCAAAATAACTGCCAAACTCCTCACAGATTATTTGATATTGCAGGGCTAATGACCAATCTCCTTAAAGAAGCTGTCAGGCCTGAACACATGGGCCTCAGTTTTGAGATGCTTAAAGACACTCAGTCGGTAATGATAGTGAAAACTGGTTGATAGGTGTAATAGGAAAGTATAGCTACATATTATCAGATGAGCAGCAGTAAGAAATATGAGATCTCTAAAACATGAAATATGTAACGAAAGCAGAAATGGTACAAGGGTGGAGCTTTGAGAGATGTCACATGGGAAAAGAGAAGATAAAGACAAAGTTATTATATTTGAAGTCTCTGTCAAATAACTATTATTAAAACCATTTGAGAGCAGTGCCAGAAATACCAGCTCAATAATATGTTAATTGGTTTGGTCTGATGACTGGTATACTTTTTTTTTTTTTTAAGTATAATGTCCCTCAACCAGCTGAAAAAGCTGGTAAGCAGTAGTTTTGTGAGTTATTTTAGAAATTAGTAGAAGTCTGGAAACGGGTCTGCAATTGTCTAAACCAGTCGTATCCTGTGTTAGATTTTGTTTGACTATTTGACTGTTTTGTATGAGATACACAGAAGTAGGAGCGTGTATAGTATATTTGTGAAGGGGAAAGAAAAATCTATAATTGTGCTCTCAGTGGTAAAGATTGTAAATAAACAAAGAAGAGTCGATGCCCTTAGCAGGAAGAACTTGCAAGGATGTCTTTCCAGGCAATTTAGCCAAGGTCAGCAAGGTGAAGTCTGGAGGCGCTCGGCAAACCTCAGCTCCTCGAGCGTTCAGGCATTAGCAGTGAACCAAAGAGTCTGGAGGGTAAAAGAAGTCAAACAGTCAGGAGGTGAAGTGATAAGTAGAGGGAAAAAAAGCTTAACTGAAATGTGGTGAAGTTAAGGGAAATTGTGTAATGTGGTTTTAACACTGATTTAACAAGAAAGAAATTAAAAAGTTGAAAAATACTAATAACCAATTGGGGGATTAATTAAGTATGAGGTTTGTTTAGTCAAGAACAGTCTAGTCAAGCCATTAAATTAAAGAAAAAATAAAGATCCAACCATTTCTAGCATCTTTTTAAGGTTAACAAAGAATGAATGAATGAATATGGTGGAGTTTTTTCACTCTAATCTTAGACTAGAAAAATCCAAAAAAGAGTAATTTTAGTGACAATAATTATTTCAGCATACTTATAAGCATTTTAGGGCACATCAAATAACATTAAGTGTTTCATTTTAACAGCTTATCATATAAAAGTTTTGTTTTGTATAAAACAGATAAGATAAGGCAGGAAATGAGTGCAAGTGTTATCTGCACTGCCGTAATACAGATGTCTGGATTGAAGTCCTAAAAGCAACTTGAATTGATTTAATAATAATTCTCTCCATTCTCTGGACAGTAACTAAGAAATGACAGTGAAAAGGCAGATGATATCTGAAGGCAGATGATAAAATGCTATTTCATTCTCCGGAGGTCTAATTATTTTTTCTTTTGTTTTCTAGAAATGAGGCCTCAGTGGTTCGAAAGTGACAAAATTCCTTTCAGTCAGATGTGGGCCGATGATATACTGTGGTTCCCTCTGATGCTGCAGAAGAAGAAATTTGTTGGATACTTCAAGTTTCAGGGTCACGATGTGATTCTCAGCCACACGCTGGAAGAAGTGGAGGAGCTCTGAAGGGAAATAATCGAGCTGTTACTGGTGGCATTTACATCAGGGACCAATATAAAACCTGTGAGAAATACCAGGAATAATCCAACGGTTGTTTTGTGTCATTATGCGGAGGAAACGAAGATATCCTGGGGAGGGTTTACATGTTACGCAGCTGTAACACAATCAGAAACCTTTTTATTTCTTTACAGGGTTTTTTCCCCAAGCAGCACTACACTGAAAGAAAACATCCATATTCTCTTTTTATTTTTAGAGTATCTGATTCAACACAATTCAGGAAGCACCTCTTTAGTGGAATATTTACAGTATATACAGTTCTGAATTCATTAGGTTTCATATTCTGTGCAGCACGTTTCCAAAATCAAGGCGATTACTAAAATAATTGTTTCATACTGTATGGGAGTTTCTTCATAAAATACATGTTTAAACCAGTTCATTTGCAATTTGAAACATAGCTTCTTTAACATGAACCCCAAATTGCACCTTTGTTACATATATTTGAGTAAAGTATATTCTCTGTTATATGACAGTATGTGTGTACAAAAAAACAAACATGTACATAATTTTTAGAAAAGTCAGACAGTGAATGAGAAGAAAATCCAGCAAAATTCAGACATTTTTGTCCTGATAATAATACACCGGTTGGCTGATGTGCGCAAAAATCTTCTTAAAAAAATTAAAGTGATGGTTGTTAAATTGGGGCGATGCAGGAGTCCTGCTTTTATGTACAGCAAAGGAGTGTATTTAGGCAGCTTTGTCTTTGGTAGTAAATCAATAGCTTATAGTGTTATTATCGACATATTATGTCACTAGTGCCAGACATTATCCTTTCATAGATCTCACCCCTGCCCTTCATATTATCCTACAGTTTAAGGTCAGATGTTTGAAATAGCTTATAAAATAAAAACTGGGACGCTTGCAAATACTTCAGGCAGCGAAAACTCTTGTTGTAAAAAAAACAAAAAGCAGGAAAAGTATGCTGGTACACATCCCTACGAACTAACATTCATAAAATAAAATAATATACTGGTTCAATGTTATTAAGCAAGAACATTAAGGTTTTTAATAGTCCCATCCCTTAATAAAGTCAGCCTGTCTGTCCTTTACTACTTATTTCATCTTAGTGTGGAAAATTGAAATATCACATACAGGTGCTTTAACTAATGCACCAGCCTTGTATCTGTTGTAAAATAACACTTCATAGGATTTTCCTGACATGTTCAAATAACTATAAAAATTTAATGGTGAACTGGACTTACGAGCCAGCTGTTCCATGCAGGTGATATGGCCAATGATCAGACAAAACAAAACTGAATGAAAAAGCTGTGCCCCCCGCCCCCCTTTAACATTATTTTGTAGTTTGCAATCCTCAGTGGCTGTGTTTTTCCTTTTTCATCTCATGTACATTTAGGTTTCAGATGGAGTGTTTCAATCCATTGTTACCGCTGAAGAGACACCCAAGCTTTGGCTGCAAATCACTCCACACCTCCCCCATCTAAAAAGAAAGGGAAAACAATAATGTATTTTACTGCACAGAACATATTGCTCAATAGTTTCCAGCTTTAAAAAAAAAAAAAAAGAAGCATTCAAGTACTTAAACCACAGAAACTGAAAACCAGCGATCAGAAGGAAGTACATAACCATTACTGCTTTGCTTGGTTTCAAATCCCAGATGAAAAAGTTCGGTCTGTTCAGCTGTACCATCCATCAGTTTCAGTAGCCAATTTAAAACTTATTTGACCTTCCTGGAGTGGTGTCGCCATAAGGGCGGATCTGTAGAAAAGTTATTTTCAAAAGACTGTCTCACCTCTCGGTGTCCTTGGACCTGGGAGTTAACAAAAGATCCGAGAATGTGCGAGGTAATCGGAAGGTAAGTGAAGATAAGCTGTGTTTCTTGGTGAAGGCAGAATAGGGAGAAGTAGTTACGCAGCTCCATGGTCTGGATGGCATTTTCTTGCTGTTATTAGAATAAACATACAGGAAGATGTCTTTACCGTTCATTAAAGGATGGAAATGATTAGAAATAAAACACTTTATATGGAGTAAGCATTGTCTAATTTCATATGTACAAGTGTTGGGACTAAATAATGAAGAAAAAAACAACATGATGAAGCTCTACTCTCATTGCCAAAACAAGAAGCACACAAATTATTCAATTACATTTAAAAGAGTCTATAGGATTTAAAATTTTCAATTTTGTGTTGTCACGGCAACACTGTAATTACCTTTCATCATTTATTTATGTTGTACATAATAATACATACATATCTCACATATTAGTCAACTAATAATCTCTCTGTTTTTAGATAGCATTATATGCATTGATGGGACACTTTATGTATATTTTGTCTGCATAACCATCTCTAGGGTTTACAGAGAATGGCTTGAAAATGCTTTGCTAATGACAGAGGTCAGAGTGAAATGGCCAGACTGCTTCGATCTGACAGGAAAGCAACAGACAAATAAATAAAAGTAGCAAAAGAGCGTCTTTGAATGCACAACACATCTAACCTTGAAGCAGAAGGGCTACAACAGTCAAAGACCACACTAGATATCATTTCTGTCAGCTAAGAACAAGAAGCCAAGTTTACAAATTCACACAGATTCACCAAAACTGGACAACTGGAAACGGATGAGTCTTGATGTCTGCTGTGAGATTCAGATTGTAAGGTCAGAATTTGGTGTAAACATCACGAAGGCATGGATCCACCCTGTTTTGTTCAGGCGGGTGATAGTGCTGTAGAAACACGGGGATATTTTCTTTGCATACTTCAGGCGCTTTAGTAGCAATTAAGTGTTTAAGCAGTCTATTGAGGAGAATGCCTGTCCCTTTATGACCACATTGTACTCATCTTCTGATGGCCATTTTCAGCAGGTTAACATGACAATGTGTTCACTGTACTCGAATGGCCTTCATAGTCAATACATCTCAATCTAATAGAGCACCATTGGGATGTAGTGGAACAGGATAATGTGCAGCTGACAAATTTCTCTCATCCCCAACGTTTTAATTTTTTATTTTTTTTAAATGGCTCACAAGGCTATAGCTCCATTCATATGCAAACCCACACAATTATACAGTCAGTGTGTGTGTTTTCAGGGCACATGTTACTATTATATGAACTTCAATCATTGTAGAATTTTACTTTTAAAGCAATAAAGAAGTTCACACTCTAAAGGCTCACAAAAGAGAAGATGAAATGATCACCTGAACAATTCGCGACTCCAGCTGCTCCACAGATGCCTGCTCTTTGTGCTGCACAGTGGCACTCATCATCTGCCTCTTCATCACACTGTACTTGTGCAATGCTTTCTGGTGCTCGTGGAGGACGCCCTTCTCATGCCGCTCACAGAGATCCTTGAGAAACAAAGTACTTCTTTATTTGACTCCAAATTGTAGGGAAACACGCTGTGCTGCACATAACAACCAGGGGTAATGGAAGAACTTTATGCATGTTGTTTTTTTTGGTTAATAGATTTGATAGACGCTGTGGAAAATGATTTTCTTATTAACCCACCAGCTGCTTTGCAAAATCCAAAAAAATTCCACCCACGAATAAAAACAGCAATTTTAATGGAGTGAGGTTAAAACAGTCCATTGCATAATATTCTGACTTTGATTACTAAATGCACTTCATATTTAAATTTACAAATATTTATTGTGCTTCTATCAGAAAACAGCAGGCAGAACAAAAGTAACTGCCACACAAAAGGTTGAGGATCCCCTGGAGGTGGAGTGAAAGGCGAGAACCAAAAGTGAAACTCACTCACCCTGTACGACTGCAGCAAATCCAGGAAAAGATTCAATTTTTCCACAACATCATCTTCTTCTCGCCGGCCCTGAGGACATTAACAAAACAACATTTATTACCCAGTGCCAGTTTTGGACAAACACAGCAGAGCAGGTGGTGAAGATGAAAGACTGAAAGGGCTGTACCTGCTGAGCAGCTTTGTCAGACAGCACAGCGAACTCCACAGAAAGGCTCTTCAGCGACTGGCGCAGGGTCCCCCAGGTGCTTTGTGAAGAGGCCAAGGAGGGAAGAGGCGAGGCATCTGAGCCCAGCGTACTGCAGAAAATACAATATTACAGAGGGAGAAAGTAATATTGTGGTGTGCTCGCTGCCAAACTCATTTCAAGTTAACAACCAGGAACAGAATCACAGATAACACTGAGGATTTGAACCTTATTACCAAAAACTCCAATACCTGCGGATACTACAGAGAGATTAAGTTTATACCCGTAATAATAAAATACCTGAGCTCTTTGCCAAACATGAGGAGATCAGATGCATTGTCCTTAGAGCGCTCCACCATTTTCTCAGCTCTGTCCCGCAGCCTCTGGAAGCTGTTGTGGATATTTCTAATCATCTCTCTGCTTGTCGAAAACTGAGCCTGAATGTCAGCTGGGAGATATTCCTGTAACGCAAGCGAGGCAAAGCTCTTTTGTGCCGTCTGAATCCTTAAAAGCAGGCGATTCTTTATGAGAAAAGCACAACTGGAGTCATCAACCATGTGCAAACCTTTGCCTGAGTTGCGATTCTGTTAATCATGAACTCGTCACCCGTTTTCTTACAAGTGTCACGCAGCTTAGACTGAACATCCTGTGTGGGAAGAGGAGGGTGAGGAGGTCAGAGTTTGGGGGCACAGATTAGCTAAAACAGGATGCATTGCACCGTCAGTCATCATGACCATAATGCTTACTGTGCAACAGCCAGCACAAAAGAAACAGGGAGTAAGTTAAAGAAACGACATACAGAGCCACTGAAAGTGAAGAAGGTCTTGACCAGCTCATCCTCTGAGAAGAAGGGATGTCGAGCCACCAAGTTAAGAAATCTGCCGAGACCACGTCTCCTCCCCTCAATGAACTCCCGCTCGGAGAGAGAGGTCAGGACTGTGGACAGACGCAGCAGAGAGCAAACACGATGAGCAGTTTGACCAGGAGTGTTAGCACTGGCAGAGAGGGGTGTGTGGGGTATAAAAGGGGGCCAACTTTAGCTTAAACTTGAAGTCCATGTCAATTTACTCAAAAACCATAAACGGAGAACTCTTCCGATGCTATGCATCAAAAAGCACCAATGGTGGGAAGGC